TCGGGTCCTGATAAGATGGCCGGAGCATTGCACAGCTCAAAAGGCATGACTGTGCATTCATAGGGGGCGTGGTTTCGGCGCGAACCAAGATGGCCGCTTAGAGGGAGAGCTCCGCTCCACCGGACCCTACTAAAGCTATAACGGCACGCAACCGACAGCTAAATGGGTCGTAATAAACGACCGGAGCAGCCCCAGACCCTGAAACTCCCTCAACAAGGCCCCCTGGACGGATTCCTGCACCCACAACCCGGCGCAAGCGGGGAACCAGTAGGCCCCAAGATGGCGCCGCCATCCCCGTCGGGGACGGAGAGCACAGCTCTCGATCGAATTGAAGAGAGACTGCGCAGTCTCACAGCCTCCATGGCCACAAAAGATGACCTCAAAACCCTCACCACCACCATACAGGACACCCTCAGAGCAGAGATGGCTGGGATCAGAGCTGAGGTAACTGCACACGCTGGCCGCATCACACTGCAAGAAGAGGCCACTGAGGCCCTTACAACTCGTGTGGCAACTGCAGACACTGCAATAGCCCGCCAGGGTACAATGCTCCTCTCTATGAGAAGACACCTTGAGGACCTGGATAACAGGGGTCGGAGGTGCAATATTCGCATTAGGGGCATCCCAGAGGCAGAAGGGCCACCAGAAGATGTGGTGGAAATACTTACTGAACTTTTTCAGTCCATCCTGCAACCAACCTCACCGCAGCACATAGAGTTTGAAAGGGCACACAGAACCATGCGGCCCAGAACCCTGGAGGATGGCCCGAAAGATCTAATATGTTGCCTGCATTCTTTCCCAGTCAAAGACACTATTATGAGAAAGGCACGAGAAAGACCAACCTGGCCCTACAGAGGCTCCCAAGTAGCATTATACAATGATTTATCCCCAATCACACTAGAGGCTCGGCGAGCCCTCCGCCCCGTGACGACCGCACTACGGGAACGAGACATCACCTATAAATGGGGGTTCCCTTTCGCATTGCTGGCCAGGCATCAAAATGGCTGGATCTCATTACGCTGGCCCGAGGAAGTTCCGCGATTCATGGAAGAACTAGGCCTTCCAGCACCGACGGTCCACAACTGGATATTGGGAACATCGGCCCCAACCCAGAGGCCGCAAAGAGGGCCCAGACGGAGAGGAACACAGTCCCCCTCTGTTCAGCCTGCCAGGCGGTGCAGAAACCCGACTTCCCCGGAAGAGTGAGTGCAGACCCACCTGACCCGTCAAACACCTCTTAGCATCCCGAGTCACGTGGCCTCTCAACAAGCACCTAAAAACCACCCTCCGAAGAAAGTCACTTCGATCCCTATTAACGGAGCAGAGCTACTAACTTAGACTGGGACAATTGCAGGTATGCCGGGACTATACACAAAGGGCTTTGGGTGGGGAGTTCAAGGGAACACGGGTCTACCCTGGGTGACCATGCTTCCACCAAAGTGCACCTCTCAGGCTTACCCCCCTTCCCTTAGTGCAATGACTGCCACCTCTTCACGGAGACCTGGGTACATATATTTTGTGTGGGGGTGCTTCGGGTTCAGGCAGGGACGAATGCCATGACGAACTGGGCACTAGCCCTCCTCCCGGAATCCCCAACACTCATGCCGCCGAATGAAGGCGCAAGATTTACCAGCATATTACAGAGCATGTGGACTTTGGATGAGGAAACACGTTGAATACCATACCCAGCACCTATCCCAATGTTGAATCCTAAGCTATGTATGTGACCAGGGGGAGGGGGTTGACAGATGAGAAGGGTGTGCAAGACGATTCACCTCATCACACACGCCTTGCTGACGTATGACTGGTACCACCTACTATCATATACTACCACGGAAGATCCCACTAACTTCCACGCTGATCAAAAGGGCCCTTACGGCTATACATAGAGGGAAACACGGGGTGACGAGGGCCACTGACCTGGGAAATCCCACAACCCAACACTCGGGGGGGACCTCCCTCCACCCCACACATGACAGAAGCCAAGTGGGGAACATTGGGGACTCACATTGAGGCTGGGCAGCTGCTGACGGTTAAGGGGTCTTCTGGGGGACATCGGGAGATGTTAATGAAGCAATGTTGAAATGTTGAACCTTTTTATGTTATGCTATGTTATGTTGTTTACACTATGTATCTAAGACATGGATGCACTCCTCGTCCCTTCAATGATCAGATATTAAGACAGAGAGACACAGACAGAGAACACCCAGGGGCGTGGATAGCCTCCTATTACCGAGAAGACGGACAGAGTAGGCCAACGACAACTAAGTTTGCATACTTGGCCTATGTTTTCACAATAGCGTTGTCGCTGGTACAACCACCACTCACACCCACCCCGATACTCCACGCTATAGAGTAGAACACACTGCCCCCGGGAGCAGTGGGTCCGGACCATCTCGGGCACGGGAGGGGGATCACCGTCCCAGGGGGCACACAGCCAAGGCAAGGGACATTAGTGCGAGGGGGGGACACTGAAACCAACGATTCTGGGGACGCCGCCTCGACCATAGCGATGCGTACTTAAAACCACAAGACACGCCCCGCAAACACAGGAGAATTAGCTTTACACGACACTACCAAAAGAGGGTCCGGTGGGGTAGACGATCCCACTCTTGAGTTGACTACCTTCTTGGGCGGAACCTGACTCGCGTTTCCCCACATACTTACTCGTGCTAAGAGTAGTGCAGACAGGCTATAGGCGCTCTCGACCTCTGGGCAGGTACCGAGGCGAGACCCCCCTCTAGTGCTGTCTGCAGCACGAGACCTACAACCTCTATTTCCCCGTACGGGATTGGAATTCGGGTTCACCCGACCCACAGACCAAAACTACACTCCGGACACACCTCTTTCTATCGTTACTATAGGTCTCGTTCGGTCCCGGCCCAGGGTGCCCCGGGCTTGGGTTCCCGTCTTGGGGAACTAAAATACTACCTTTTCACCCTTCCCTTCCCCCTTTTTTTTTTTCTTTCTTTCTCTCTCCTCCTCTTCTTCTTTTTCTTTCCCCCCTCCCCTTCTCCTTTCTTATACGAATCGGACTTAAGGGAACACCTCGCTTGTACCGCGAGAATGGCATACCGAAATACACCCCTGAGGATCCTCACCCAGAACTGCAGAGGCCTCAATATCCCTGAGCGTAGGACTCACCTACTGAGGGAGCTGAAGCAAAAACATATAGCAGTGGCCCTGATCCAGGAAACCCACTTCAAGGAAGGCGCGGCACCTAAGCTACAAAACAAACACTACCCGAACAACTATTTCTCTAATCACTCGACGTCACATAAAGCGGGCACAGCCATACTCTTAGCAGCCGAGCTTGAATTCAAAGAATTAGAGAGAACACAAGATTCACACGGACGGTATCTCTTCTTAAAAGGAATCATAGCCGACAAGATATACACCCTGGCAAACATCTACGTTCCCAACCGAAGACAGGCTACCTTCCTCCGAAACACGCTGCACATATTAGAAGAATTCACTGATGGCATACTAATCGTCGGAGGGGATTTTAACGTACCCTTGGACCCAATATTGGACTCCTCATCGGGACATAGTAGTATTTCACAAAACAACATCCGATCGATCTGAAAATCGCTGGAAGAACTGAGACTGGTGGACGGCTGGAGAACACTCAACCCAACGGTAAAAGATTATACTTACTACTCCGCTCTTCACAACCGATACTCTCGCATAGACTACCTCTTCATAACACAGGAAGGACTCGCTCGCTTACTCAAAGCGGACATCGACCCGTCTACATGGTCGGACCATGGCTCGGTCAGGCTAGAGATGGAATCCCCCATGTTTCGCCCAACTACGTGGACGTGGAGACTTAACGAAGCTCTCCTACTCGATCCAGCCACCAAAGAACAAATAACCAAAGAGCTAGAACAATACTTCAGAGACAACGACACACCAGAGGTCTCCCCGATAACCATATGGGAAGCACATAAGAGCGTCGTTCGCGGAACACTCATCCGCATTGCCTCGCAAAAACGGAAAGCGAATATGATCGAGATGACTAACCTATACCAAAAGATATCAAAGCTGGAAAGTCAACACAAAAGATCCCAACTACATGAAACATACGGGGAACTGATGGAACACAGAAGGGCACTTAAGAGACTCATCACAAAAAAAATCTCCGAAATCTCCAATGCACGAAGGGTTTCTACTATGCACACGCCAATAAAGGGGGGAAATACCTGGCTAGATTATTAAAAGGCCCTACGCCTCGTAGACAAATACGCAAACTTCGCCTCTCCTCAGGAGAAATGACCCCCTATCCACAAAAAAAATCGCCGATGAGTTTAGGACCTACTATGAAACACTTTACAACCTGAGCCCACCCATGGGGACGACGAGCGACGAAAGAAGAGCCACTCAGATACGAGATTACCTTTCTGACACGATCGTCAAAACGATTAACCAGGAATCAGCTTCGGCACTCGACATGCCAATCAGCACGGAAGAGCTTGCGGCTGCACTGAAAGCGTCCAAATCAGGCAGGGCACCTGGACCAGATGGTTTTTCAACTGGATACTATAAGAGCTTCCCGGATCTCCTGATACCGTGGCTAACTAAAGCGATCAACACGGTGGGTGACGGAGGGCACCTGGGCGCGGAATCCTTAGCCGCGACCATCACGGTCTTGCTCAAGCCAGGAAAGGACCCATTGCTTTGCGGCAGCTACCGTCCCATTTCGCTGCTCAATGTAGACGCCAAACTAACCACGAAAGTCATAGCTAGCAGGCTCAACAACTTTCTTCCAGAATTGATACACGCAGACCAGACAGGCTTCATCCCGGGCAGAGAGGCCAGAGATAGCACTTTGCGACTGTTCTCAATCCAACAACACGCAAGAAAGACAAAAACTAAAATGCTATTACTATCCACGGACGCGGAGAAAGCGTTTGACAGAGTCGACTGGTCGTACATGATGGCCACCTTACAACATATGGGATGCGGACAGAGACTACTCGCATGGGTATCAGCCTTCTACAGCAAACCGCACGCAAATGTGAGAGTAAACGGAGCCACGACAGCGGACTTTACAATTAACAATGGTACCCGTCAAGGTTGCCCACTATCTCCACTTTTGTTCGCTATGACCCTAGAACCACTGCTCCAGAAGATACGACTAAACCCAAACATTCAAGGATACAGCTGGCGTGGAACACACCATAAAGTGGCTGCGTACGCGGATGACCTCCTATTCTTTATACAGCACCCTAGGACAACTCTACCATGCCTCCTTTCCGAATTCGACAATTTCGGGAAAATCTCGGGCTTCAAACTCAATCTCTCAAAGTGTGAGGTCCTGAACATTACGATCCCCACGGAAGAATACATATCCCTGGACTCGCTATTCGCTTTTCACTGGTGTTACGGCCGGATGAAGTATCTGGGCATCTGGGTGACCACAGACCCAGAAGACATATACCGTCTCAATTTTGTCCCCCTTCTGAAAACAATTCTAGCGGACCTAGCTAGATGGTCGTACCGTCATGTAACCTGGCATGGACGAGTCGCGATCCTCAAGATGAACATATTGCCGAGAATTCTATACCTTATGCAAAAGATTCCACTAACCATCCCAGGGACCTTCTTCTCCACCCTGAAAACAGCAATAATTAAATTTGTGTGGCGAGGGGAACGCTCTCGAATTCGACATGACATACTCTGCCGCCCAAGGAACCATGGTGGACTAGCCTTACCAGATGTCAAAAAATATCACCAAGCTACAGTAATGCAACGGATACTGGACTCGCACCAGGAACCTACAACGAAACAATGGGTAGAACTCGATAAAGGCCTTATCGGACCAACACTGGAAATGAGGATATGGGGAACGACGAGAGGCCCGATGGCCCACAACAATGAGGGGCTGATAACACAAACAATCGCCGGTTGGAGATCGCTGAGAGACCAGAGCTATATATCGCCCACCCCTAGCCCGATGATTCCACTCACCCATAACGCGGCCTTGGGAGGTGGACTCCCGCCCGGCGCATGGCCCATCCCAAGCGAGAGGAACTATATCCCCATATATAAAGCCCTCGAAGGTGGCAGAATCCGGGACCTAACTGCATTACTAGGGGACGGTCCAAGGACCCCCCTCACGGTACTCAGATACCTACAGTTGAAACACTACCATGACACAATGCCACATAAAGAACGTTTACCCAGAGACCTCACCTGGTTTGAGGGCCTCTGTGACAATGACACCACACTTGACCATGCTATATCAGCCCTCTACCAACACCTACTTATTGGAGACACGACCCAGGCTTCTACCTTCCGTCGCCAATGGGAAGGACAACTTCGAAAAACGCTCACACCTTCACAATGGGATTTGGCATTGCTATGGCAGCAAAAAAGCTCTATGAGTTCCTATTACCAAGAGGTGAATTACAACTTCTTAAACTCTAAAAAGAGGAACACCCAGCCCTGACGGGATCTGAGGAGTGTTCAGACTCCCTAGGGAAACACGAGTCAAACCATACCTTGTTAAACGTTCCAGTATCAAAATGTCAAAAGTAGAGCTTACGCTCATATAACACAACAGTCACGCAACATCTTAAATCCACTCCAAACACACATTACTAGGTCTCCGACACACACACCACTAACGACACTAAGGCATCACGCATGGGAAATTTCATGGACTGTAGGCTCTACTGCAAGTAGTAATGACAACACCCCTAGCCATATAAGATAACGCACTAGAAACGGGGACACGTATTATACAATCCACTAAACCTACTCTCATGGCACGCTATAGACCCGCATACACATCTGGAACGCAAAGACCCGTGAGTCTCAACGTTATATCTCACTACCTTACATATCTCACTAACTCGCACCTATGGACACTCACATATTCTATCGCTTGACACAACGAGGCGAAGTAATAAAGTCAAATGGAAGGAGGTGGGGAGATGGAACTACAGAGTGTGAGGAATAAGGGAAACAAAACCTTTACGTTACAAAAACTGTACAGGCCCTCCCCTCCCGACCTGCATATTTTGGTGTACTGCACGATGTCAAAAATTTTGCATTATCACGACTGTTATTTCACTCTGTCATATAACAAAAAAGATTTACCCCAAAAAAATAAGTAATGAAACTCACGGGGAAATACGGACGAGAACCTCGACACAATGTGATTAATATCCTCAAATTGGTGGTATGTTGGAGACCTGCGCGTCTCAACTTGTAAAGCTTTTTTAACAACAAAAAAAAAGACTGTGCATTCATAATGCCCATATCTAGTATTAAAAGGCATCTTCGATTCATCCCCTTCTTTGATCCTCACCAAATTATATGCACCTCGTAAGTCTAATTTGGTGAAGATTCTGGAACCTTTCAACCGGTTAAACAGTTCTGTGATCAGGGGAATAGGATAGACATTATGTACAGTTATTTTATTCAACCCCCTCTAGTCAATACATGGCCTGAGATCACCCTCCTTTTTTGAAACAAAAAAGGAACCTGCTCCAGCAGGAGATGAGGACCTTTTGATAAATCCCTTCTCAAGGTTCTCCCTTATGTATTCCTCCAATATCTAATTCTCTTTAAGAGAGAGAGGATAAACAGTGCCCCTAGGTGGCATAGTCCCTGGTAACAATTCAATAGCACAGTCATATGACCGATGCGGAGGTAACTAATCTGCTTTCTTTTTGTCAAAGACCTCTTTCAAGTCTTGGTAGAACTTGGGTACATCTGTGGATAATGGAAATAATACAGGTATGTTTATGAGGTCCACGGGTCTGACTTTGGTGATACATCCCTCTGTACAAAAAGGGCCCCAAATAACCACCTCTCCTTTCTCCCAATCTATCTGTGAGTTATAAACCAGATAAAGTCAAAGCGCTTAAGAATATCTGCAGTGCTGCTGCACTAGCCCCCAAGTGACACACAGTGACACAAATTAGCAATAGATACCAGAAAGTTGCTAGAAGATTTTAGGATTAAAAATTATCCAGAAAAAACACTAGAGAAAGCATCTCAAGCTGTCCAAAGGATTGATAGAAAAGACCTTTTAAAAGAGAAAAAACCCAAGGAGAAAACTGAAAAAACTGGGAAAAATGGTCTAAGGAGTATAGAAACCCAATGAGTGCCATTAATATTCAATTACTCAGGAAATAGTAAAAAGTTAGGAAATATTGTAAATAAATATTGGTTTATTCCCTCTGGAGATCCCCTGTTAGAAGAAATAATCCCTAAAAAACCTAGGGTTATTTATAGAGGAGTACCCAGCATTAGGAATCAATTAGTAAAAAGTAGTTTTAAGAATGAGAAAAAGAACACAACATTCCTCACTGAAGAAATTGGTTTCTTTCAATGTGGCTATTGTTTGGCCTGTAGGGGGACAAGAACGCAGAAAAAAAGTAGTGAAAGAATTGGAAGATAGAACAAAATCCAATACATACAAGATAAAACAGCTTATTACGTGTCATAGTAAATATTGTATCTATGTTTTCACTTGCCCATCTAACTTACAATACATGGGCAAGACCACACAACAAATATATGTACGTATTGGAGAACATGTTCGCAACATCCGAAAAAGTGTTAAAGAACATCCTCTATCAACACACTTCGCACTAAAACATAATAGTGATCCCACTAAACTTAGATTTTTAGGACTAGAAAAAGTTAATAGAGATTGGCGAGGAGAGGATCTAGATAAGAAGTTAGCCCAGCAAGAAATGAGATGGATATTTAAATTATCACCTAGGGGCCTTAACGAGGACTTCGAGATCTGTCACTTTCTAGAAGTCCAATAAGAATGGTATTCAAATACATAAATGTATATGCTAAAACCATTTTTCTCTTTTTTTAGATATATAAGAGATAAATTCCACAGCATCAAACATAATATAGATAATGAAATGTGTATGTGTATATGAACATGAGTATATAGATGTATATAGATGATGCAATGTTTTAATGATTGGTATGATATGTAATGTACACACTGTAGGCTGATGATTGACAATAGAGGACATATTTAATAAAAGATTATTGTTTTTCTTTAGAATTTAATATTTGTTATAAAAGATTCTGTTTAGTAGATAATCCCCATTTAGAATTGTGTCCATTTCTCAGTATAGACAGTTCTAATATTGAATACTGATCTCTATCTACATTTGTTGACCCTCTCTATATAGAGAAACTATCCACATAATATATCAAGCTAGATGTTTGATACATTTGTATTTAGGTGATAATCCCTGGATATTTTTAAAATTTTCGTTTAAAATTTTCGATTAAAATATTTTCGGCTTTATTCTTATTTTGTTTTTAGTAATGTTATCCCAGAGCTGGACTTTGGGTTGATATTTCTAGCTTCTAATTTTCACTTAATTACAAGAAATATTATTTTATGTATAATTCTATTTAGTAGATGATCCTCATTGCTATAGAACATCTTAAAATATAAAGAATATAAATGTGAATATATATTGTTGGAAGCTAAAATATCTATAAAAGTTTTCTACAGAACGTTTTTTACAATATTCTTTTTATAATAAAGGAAAGGAAAGGAAATAAAGAAATAATGTGATCTTTTGGGCAAAATCAGCCTGCAGTGTTGTAACTTTTACTATAGGCAGTATGAACAGATTATGTAAACAGCCCTAGAAAAGACTTATGAATTGAGTGCATACACCCACAATGAGTGGGAGGACTAGAAATAAATCCTAGTTTGATTGACTGTCCCCTCAACCAATGACGAAACAGAAGGGGAGTGTCTGGGCACTTAAAAGACAGGGCTGAACAGAAATGATGTCGTTGGAAGAAGCTCGGGAGGCGGGCGAAACGCGTCACGTTTGACATCAGAGAGCAGCAGTCCTAGCGATCACGTGATCAGAACACAGCAGAAACCCAGAAGTGTCTAAGCTGCATCATTTTTTGTGTGTAAATTCCTGCTTATCTGGTTGTGTGTATTGCTGTCAAACCCACTACTTCAAGTAAGCAGAGTTATGATAAAGCTTATAAGGCCCTGTCAGTTGGGTATGTTCTGGGACACAGCTTAAACAAAATGCTGACCTGATTAAGAAAGCCCCTACATTTAGAGAGATACCCACTATAACATATTGGTTGGTTGGGATTAGAGTTACTGCTGTAGGTGGAAGATTCCGCACCAGCAGGTATAGGTCTAAGAGAAGTACGAGAAACAAAGCCGAGTCAAGGGAGACAGAAAACAAAATAGTCAAGAGTAAGCCGGGTCAAAAACAAATATATACCACAAAGGACACAGAAACACATTATAGGAACACTAGGTACCACAACAGGGCTCTGTGCTTTGGGCAGACTGGGTTATTATATGGTTGG